GGAAAGGGAAGCAAGAAAGTGAAAGAGAAAAAGGAGACAGAATGAAGCTGGGTCTATTTTTTTTTAAGTAAAAAAAAAAATCACATTGGACGCACAAAATTATTTTACCTTTAGATCCGTTCGTGCATGACGGACCCAGCAGTGAAACCACAAACACCAAAATCGTTGCCGTAACAAACATCTTGATTCAGCCAAAGTCAAACACTGTTGTTACAATAAGCTAACCCAAACTCAGACTACACTCACACACACATCCTGCACAACCACTTATAATAAGGGTCAAGTGAGAAACAGGCTAAGTCACATCAACCCTACCGTAACTTACCCTAGTTATTTGTGTTTTATTTTCTGATGGCTTTCTTCTGTTAGTGTTTTTGTTTTGTTCTGTTTGTTCTTTTGGGTTTTTTGGGGGTTTTTTTTGTTTTTTTCACGCGATTAACTTCATAGCGATATTCTGCAGGTACTGTTGTTGACTTAGGGCCAATACCCTGATTTTTTTCTTCTATTTTTTAAGAAATGGACTTATCCTGCTTTTTTTTTTTTTCGTGGGTGGTTGGCGGGTGCTATGGTGTGGTTTGCTTCTTCTTTCCTATCAAACATCTGTCGTCCTTATCTCACCTCCTTCTTTTTTATGTTTGTTACTCTCTCTTGTAACACCTCTAATCTTCTGGCACTCATATGACCTTTTGCAGTTGTGAGTGCCGTAAAACTTCTACTTAAACTAAAAACTGCTTTTTTTTTCTTCATTTGACCACTTGATTTACTTTGTGGTGCTGTACACGTTTTGTTAACGGAGCGCTCCGAATAACGGAAAACTTCTGTAAAGGTATTACGAAACTATTCATTTTTACTGTTTAAAAATAAGTTCCCTCCAAATATTGCTTTCTTCTGTTGCTTTTTGTAAACCTCGAAAAATTGTTTTAAATGTCAGTAATTGTAACTTTCGTTACGGCTTTTAATTCTTGACAGTTGCTAAAGATATTGAAAATAAAATATAGGCACAGAAATGTGATTTCTTAGAAGTCTATTGAGAGTTTAAGGAAGGAAATTGCATTATATGAGGTAATACTGAAAGAAGCCAGCATTGGATGGTCACTAGATTTAATAGAAACAAGCAGGAAGTAGTTTCTGGGACAGAAGCTGAACCGAGGAAAACGCTTTGAACATTGGTTATTCCTTTAAATAAATTGGCGATAAAAGAGTATGATGTAGAACAGGAATCATTAACAAAGGAACTCGAACAGATCGAAGACGAGAATAAAGAACAAGATAACGTAGGTTTTTGAGAGCATCCGAACAGATAAATGAAAGTTTAACCATGATTGTTAATGTCTGCAACAGATTTGCATTTGCTAAGGAAATGAAATTTTGTATACACTGATAATTCATAGAAGAATTTCCCAATCTGAAGGAAGTATTCTCTAAAACATTATACATTTAAGTCTTCTGTTTATCTATCTATCTATCTATCTATCTATCTATCTATCTATCTATCTATCTATCTATCTATCTATCTATCTATCTATCTATCTATCTATCTATA